AAGATTTACAGCTTTGGGAACCCTATTGGGCAGTTCTACACTATCCTATAGGGTTATTTTGCGTTGGAATTGACTCAGTGGCACTGGATGACTGGGTTAGATGTCCATCTGGTTTCCTTCTTCTCTCTCGTTTTATATGCTAACTTTCCTGTGTTTTATATAAGCTGTCTGTAAGACAACTTAAATTTTTTTGGAATTAAAACAAAAACCAAAGTCACTGCCATTGAGTCAATTCTGACTCATAGCAACCCCCACTGGGTTTTCAAGGCTGTAAATCTTTACAGAAGCAGACTGCCTCATCTTTCTTCTGCAGAGCAGCTTGTGGGTTTGAACCACCAACCTCTTTGTTAACCACTACAGCTGGAAGCGTAGTGCCTAAGGCACTTGACTGCTAACCAGAAGGCTGGTGGTTCAAACCCACCAGCCACTCCTCGGAAAGAAGGTTGCACAATCTACTTCTGTAGTGATACTGCCTTGGAACCCAAGGAGGGGTCGCTATGGGTTGGGTCTGACTTGATGGCACATAACACCAACAACAACAACAACAAACACTATTAGAGCTCCATTTCTGGAATGAGGTGGGGTAGAAATATACAAATGAATACATCTGTCTAAGTGTCGATTGGTAAAAGTCTAGGAAAATGTGTTGAAAATGACCTGATTAATATATTAAGAAGCTACTTTTTAACAGAAAAACAAACATACTGATCCAAGTCCAAATTGAAAAGTAACTATACAATTAATATATTAACCTTAGAGTCATTCTGCCTCAATGGTAAGGTTTATGCATCTTCCACAGACCAGTCAGGAAGGTGCATTTAGGCTGTGAGTGAGATCGTCTATCACCAATTCTCACCTGTACCTACCTAGGTGTGTCTGTTCTTACCTTATTAGTTTTGTCTCACTGTAACCGGCTACTAAAAATCACATAAATATGAAATGAAAGGTTAAAAAAATGGGGGGGGGGGTTGGTGAAATGCCTCTGGCCCATGTGTTCCTCTGGACAAGCCCACAGTGGTATCATCAGATGACAGGTAACAAGGTCTGTGAGGGGAGTTGAGGCCCAGCCCAAGATCACTCACATTTAGCTTCTCCCTCCTTGAGACCAATGGCAGCTTTGCCATTTTAGTTGCATTTCTATTAGCATTTGTATTATATCTTGATAAGGCTTGCTAATATCTGGGGTACTCTTACGCTAGTTTATTTGAAATTTAGCAGAAAACAAGACGTCATGGGCCTGCCACGTGCTGCCATGTAGCACAGTGTCATGGGCAGGTGGGGGGAGGTAATGTCTGTCAATAACTGTTCCATCTAAATGCCAACAAAGTCAAAGAATTTAGAGACACCACACAGTGGTTGTAGCTGTTTTCATCACCATAATGAATATGGTTTATTTGCAATACAGTTATTTTTAAATTTCCCATGTGCCTGTGATATTTTTGCCAACTCTTTCTCCAAAGATCTCTTGAAGTGACTATTCTAATTATATGTGTACTCCCATACTATTTGAAATAATGACTTGTAATCAATTCAAGTTTAAAATAAAATGGTCAATTTCATGTTTCTAGCCATCATTCATATTTGTGGTCCTCATTAAGTGTGTAAGTAATGACTGTTATTTTTATGTTCATTCAGGTGAATATTCGAAATAACTTCAGGTTCCTGACAAAAGAGAGGACAGGCATGGTTTCTTTTCCAAAATCAACCCTGGAAAAACTATAGGGGAAAATCCAGATTCAAGGAGGTGATGAACAGAAGGAGAAAGAAGAGGACGAGTGGCAGGGAGGGAGGAGAAGAAAAGGAGAGAAGGAGGAAGAGGAGGAAGAGGAAGGGAGCTGGAAACCTGGATCCCAGGAGACCTGAAGGCTGCCAAAAACGGACATGGAAGTGGGGCAGAGGATGCTCCCAGGAAGAGTGAGGGGACAGTTAACAGAAAAGGTGGGTCAGTTTCCACAGAATTTCACACTCCCCTCTGACTTCAATATCTGTTAAAATCCCTCCCCACCAAAAGCCTGCCTCCTACATTTCTCTCTCTTTTCACTCCTTGTTTAAGCAGCTGATGCAGGCACAGCGGACCAGACATTTTGTGAGTTCATACGGCAGCTCTCCTCTCTCGATTGTTCCTATCAGGGAGTACCCTGCTCCTCTGTCTCTATCGCTGTCCTTGTAACGGTGTGACTCATATTACAGGAATACAAGCAACAAAAAAATGGAAACTCAGGCACATTTAAAATTCCCGTTGTTTATGCTGACTTAGCTCTCTTCTTTGCTTCTGTTGCCTATACTATGGACACTGACAATAGCAGCAACAGAGTACACAGCCATGGTTGAAGAATGTTAGTGAGGTCAAAAAGAAATGTGCAAAAACAAGATTAAAATCTTTTGCAACAGAACTATGATCTTTTGTGGCATCAACCCATGGTCATCAAGAATTCATTGGTCACTTCTAGAAAACGCCTATATGAAGGTGATCAAGGATCCCAGAGTTCGCTTGGTAGATTTTATCTTCTAGGTCAGATTGACTCATCTTTCCTAGGTAACTAACTCATCACCAATAAATCTACACATTTCACTACAAATATTTTTGCAAGACATTTTCCACAATACACTGGATAGCTTATGACAGTCAGCCCCCCCAAGCTGCCTTGGCACATGGAACGAATGAGCACTCCATGTGCACTGAACTGCAACGTCCGTTTAGGTACAGTTTGAGTAACTTAAACACGCATCATTTACTGATCTGGGAATTTTCTGTTTTTCTGACTTGATTAGGCCCTTCAGAAGACCTGGTGGCATACTGGTTAAGCACTTGGCTACCAACAAAAAGGTTGAGCTTTACAGGAGCAAAGCACAAACCAAACCCACTGCCTTGGAGTGGATTCTGACTCACCACGCCCCTAGAGGACAGAGTGGAACTTCCCCACAGGGTTTCTAAGGCTGTCAATTTTACAAAAGTAGACTGCTTCATCTCTCTCCCATGGAATAGATGTTGGGCTTGAACCCTTGACCTTATGGTTAGCAGCTGAATGCCTTAATCACTGTGCCACCAGAGCTCCTTTGAAATATGATTAGCAAAGATTAAAGATTAAAAATCTACATGTAATGGAATAAGACACATCTTTAAATGTATGACAATATCCTACCAGTGACATCAAATAAATCACTTCCTCTTTATGACTGCTTAGCTCACTGAATCAGTACAGTCAACAGGAGCTTAAAAGAATGAATGCAGCTAAAAAAAGCAAAGCAGTCTGTATGTACAGGCTTTTGGAGCATCAAAGATAAAGCAAAGTGATTCATCCCACATTTTTATTATTAATAACTTATTTGAAAGATAAATATTTTCTAGTGTCTTGGCACTTCTATTCATTACTCATAAAATTTTTGACTAGGTCAAAATAAATCTAAATAAGTTATTTTTATTAATACAATTTACATGTAAGTTATAATTACTTGAAACACTGAAAGCCATTCACTTTGTATAAATAAATGTTCTTTTCTTTACTTAACAGGGACCCAGGTTTCTAAGAACCTCCACTGTGTTATCTTGTGTGAACCAGTACACAGGCAATCACACATGCAATCTATGTACTTACTCAAATAGAAATGGACCCAAAACACAAGAAACATTTGTGAATACAGACTTACGTTAACACTAAATGCATCTAATGAAGTGACGCTTGCTATGATTTCTCACTTTACACACGTTTTCACCAAACAATCCATGTTAACAGAGACTTTAAAGCAAGATAATTATGTCCCTCAACCCCATTCCCCCATGGCAAGATTTAGTAATAAGGAAAGCATCATATTTTTCTTGCCAAGTAATTTGGAATGATTCTACACTGCATAACTGAATACCACGTTTCCTCATGATTTAGAAATGTTTGATTAATATGAAAACTTTTAAAAATGACATCAGAAACAATACAAACAATCATTCATTCTTTCCAGGAGGAAAGAAAATGTTAATTTTAGTGACTCTTTCTAAGCCATTTATTTCAATAAATTCTTCAATGTGATTATTTTACTTTTTAACATAATTTTACCTTCCACTAATTGCAAACAATCCCTAAATTCGCTCCAGACAGTGCCGCTGGACTTTTAGTTAAATGCTCCAATGGTTCCTTCTCAATGATTTTGGACACAATCTTTTCTTTCCCTTCCCTGATATAAGAACTCCGTAGCAGAGGCCCTACAGCTGATAAATATCACCCACAGCCAAGTCGGTGATAACAAGAATAATGAAATAGCAGAAGCAGGTGAGAGATCAGAATTCATTTTTCAAATTAAATGTAAAAGCCCTCTTCAGTTAAGAGATTGACAAGTTTTTACAAATAGCTTCAGCGAGGCTTTTAGAAGGAAACACAGCCCCATAGAATGGAGTCATTAGGCAATACATTTATTTTGAAGCCAATTAACCTTGTGTCAGGAGGACGTCGGGGCTGTAATGGCTTCGGTGGAGGAGGTCAGTCTCTACCAGGGACATATGACAGTGACTGCGTGGCTGACATCTGCCGGGGAGGAGAGGACAGCACAGCAATGAGAACGGTCCCCTTGTGTCCTGCTCTGCGTCCAGAGGGAGCAGCAGCCTTGACCTATCCATTTGGGTAATTAAAGCCTCCATTTGGAAGTGTCCTGCAGGAAGGTGAAATCTGGGGAGATAAATGGCCGATGCTCGCTGTGTCCAGCCGGCGGCTCCATCTCTTGATGGACTGCCTGAAACAGGCCGGGCTGCCAGCTTCCCATAAAAATAGAGATGGATCGGGCAGCAGACAATTCTCTAAGGCAAAGCGACTCTGTCATTTTCTTTCTCGCAGGCTGTAATTTAATTGTTAGTCAAGGTGGACGGCTGACACAGGGGCTTCTGCCCAGAGCTTACCCAGCAGCTGCCACTGGCGGACAAATTGCTCAAGTCTACTTACCGCCAACTTGGTTTGGCGCTGGGAGATGTCACTTTCAGGCACACAGCTGACTGTCACAGCTGCGCCCACACTTACCTTCCAGGCTATTTTGTTTCCTTTCGAGTCGTGCTCAAGGGCGATCGGGAAGTCTCCTCGCTCGTAAAACTTCCGAAATGACGTGGGCTTTGTTGGCCTTTCTTTAAATGCCCCTGCGGTGGGAGGGCCTCTCACCTTAAGGGAACAAAAAAACTGCAGTCAGGTTTTAAAACGTGCTGAAAATCCCCCATGAGAAGACGTTTTGGTTTAAAAATATTTCATCTTGTATAAAACATGCCAGAAGGGAAAGATCAAAATAGCCATTAATGGGCAACAGGCATGGCGAGTACTACCGACATTCGTGGGCGAAAACTATTCTAAAATCACTTCTAAGGGGCTACTTTGCTTGAATCGACTTTAGGAAGCATTCCTAGAAAATACCACTTAAAAAAATTCACAAGGAAGCATGGACTTCTGTCTAAGAAAAACATTTTGACAGACGTATCTAAGCTCAGCGTGTTGAAAGTTTTTACGATTCTAATCTCAGGTCTAATATAACCCTGTGGTACCCTGACTAAGGACTTAAAACATTTCATTTCAATCTTTCTATATATAAAATGAGGGCTACATGCTCGTGCTATGAATATTAACAACAAAACTCCAAAACCGTGATATAAAATTAACTAATGGTAAATGCAAGTATTTAAAAAGAAAAATGGTAACCCTCTATGTGTGTGTCCGGCACGCACGTAGCAATATAAATTCATGAGGAAGTAATATGAGGGTGACATGACACTCTTCACCCCTAGACACGGGATTTCCAGCAAAGACAAAATACTCCATGCTGACTTATTTACAGGAATCTTTTAAACCTACATTATTTATATCTGAACTGATTCGTTAGGATACAAAATCCCAAGTTCTTAGTGGGATATTTAGAAAGTTATAGCCTCAGATTGTTCCTTACAGATAGTTCAAATACGGTTGCCCTTCCCTGCTTTGAAACAAAAAACCAAACGCTACCATTTAGTCGCTTATTAGTTGAATAAAATCATAATTGTTCTGGTAATAATTAAAATGGGCAAGGGAGCAAATAATTTATCTAATATCTAAATATTTTAAATTATTTGATATCAGGTTCATTTTTAGTATTTCTGAGAAAAGTTTAATGTTAACAAAAAAACAAAATGTATTTAATGTAACAACACAAATCATATCACATACAAATATGAAGGCTAATGTTTAACACGAAGGGGGTTAAGAACCGTCTTAATGAGGCAGAGGAAGTGGAGCTGAAGAGGGAGACGGCACAAAGGCACTTAGTAGAAATTAGAATTGGCTTCAGTATAGAGCACACTGTCCCCAGGGCGCAAGTGCCTCATCCACTGAGAAGACCCCAAGTGGCCAGGATCCAGGACTGTCTTTTACTTATCACAGATTTGAATTTTTCCCTGGTGGTAGAATCACTAACCACTGTTTTCAGCCAAAGGAGCCCGGGTGGTGTGGTGGTTAAAGCACTCTCCAGAAAAACAAACCAAACTTACTGCTGTCAAGTTGGATCCAACTCAGAGCAACCCCTCCTTGGGTTTCCAAGATGGTATCACTACGGAAGTAGATTGCCCAACCTTCCTTGCGAGGAGTGGCTGGCGGGTATGAACCACCAGCCTTCTGGTTAGCAGTCAGATGCCTTAGGTACTATGCAACCAGAGCTCTACTGCTAACCAAGAAGTCAGTGGTTGAAACCCACCAGCATGCCACAGGAGAAAGATGTGGCAGTCTGCTTCCATAAAGATTACAGCCTTGGAAACCCTGTGGGGCAGTTCTGCTCTGCCCTATGACAGCAGTGGGTTTGGGTTCAGGGTTTCAGCCAAATTCATTCAAGGGTTAAACAACCATATGCACATGACAAGTCCTGTGCACAGAGTGCTAAGTGGGATGCTATACACAAAGGAAAATCTTCCTAGAATCACAGTGATGCAAAACTACAGTAAACTAGCACGCAGGGTGAAAACATTTCCATCGCCACCAGAACCCCGAATGCTGGCCTTGTCCAGCCACTCCACTTCCTTTCGCATCCTCCACTAGACCCCATAACCACAATTCTGTTCACCATTTCTATCATTTTGTTTGATCAAGAATCGTAGAACACGTAAATCTTTGGGACTGGCTTTTTCACGAAACATACCTGCCTGGAGATTCACATCGGTCTTGTGTGTCAATAATGCTTTTTCATGCTGACTAGTATTCCAGGGTATGTGTATACAACAGTTTGTTCAACCTCTCATGGGTTGAAGGTCATCCGATTTGTTTCAATGAACAAATGAATAAAGCAGTCAATGTTTTGCAGAGGACCTTTAATAAATTGAAGAAATTCCCCTTTGTTACTGTTTTTCTGAACATTTTTTTAGCATGAATGCTCTTAAGAAACCCTGGTGGTGCAGTGGTTAAATGCTCAGCTGCCAACCCAAAGGTTGGCAACTCAAGCCCACCAGCTACTCTGCAGGAGGAAGATGTGGCAGTCTGCTTCCATAAAGATTACAGCTTTCTAAACCCTTTGGGGCAGCTCTACTTTGTCCTATAGGGTCATATGAGTCAGAATTGACCAGATGATATGGTTGGTGTTGAATTTTCTCAAAGACTTTTTTTGTACAATTTACATGATCATGGAATTTTTCTTATTTAGCCTGTTGATATAGTAGTTTATGTTGCTTAACTTTTGAATATTGAACCAGCCTTGCCTTCCTGGAAAAGCCTGTAATTCTCTGCATGTCTTACTAAATTCAAGGAGTTGTGGTAGCACAGTGCCTAATGCATTTGACTGCTAATCAGAAGTTTGGCAGTCAAACCAACCAGCCTCTCTGCACAAGGAAGATGGGGCAATCTACTTCAATAAAGATTAACTGCCTCAGAAACCCAATGATAGTTGCTATGAGTCAGAACTGATGCGATGGCAGTGACTTTAGTTCTATGGATTTATTCATGAGGGATATGGCTCTGCAATTTGTCATTGTTGTTGTCTGCTTTTGGTATCAAGATAATATTAGCTTCATAACTGAATGGCTTCTTTTCCTTGCTACTCTATATTCTGGAAGAGATTGCATAGGAGTGATGACAATTATTCAAACTGATGTAATTGTGCAGTGAAATCATCTACTCCTGCAGATTTCTTGTGGGAGAGTTGTGTAACTATGAATTACATTTCCTTAATATTATATTCCTTAATAGAACTATTCAAATTACCTTCTGTATATTGGATGACTCATGGTCATTTGAGTTTTTCAAGGAGTTGATTCATTTTATCTAAATTGTGAAATTTAAGGATGTAGAGTTGTGTGCAGTAGATTCTCTGAGCATCCTATTGATGTCTGTAAAAACATCTGCTATTCATTTCTGATACTGGTCATGAGCTGCTTCTCTTTTTTCTTCACCAGTGTTGCTAGAGATCTGTCAACTTCATTGATGATTTAAGGAACCTAGCTCTTTGTTATATTGTTTTCCCATGTTCGATTTCACTGATTAATGCTCTTCTCATTATTATTCCTTTCCTCTGCTGGCTTTTCACATATTTTGCTCTTTTCTTTCCAGTTTCTTGCAGTGGGACCTTGTTGGCATTGTTGGGGGCTGTCAAGTTAGCTCCAAGTCACAGTGACCCTATATACGAGAAGGAAACACTGTCCAGTCCTGTGCCAGCCTCACAATCCTTGCTATACAT